AGGATTACTTGATATAATTTTAGAAAATGATTTTGAAACTATTTGCGGACGCGTTTATGGGATTAAAATCTTATTCTTGGTCAAAAGCCAAGGATCTCTTTAAGTTAAGTTTTCCAAATTAAAACACTTTTTCACTAAGTCAAAATAACTTGTTTCTTAAAAATAGGTTTACTTCTTTAACGCGTTAGACACCCTTTATAAGTGACAATAAAGGAATTTAATTTAAAGAGTAAACTCGGTTCTTAGTATGTGAAAGCTACAAGTTCCTGTTAAACAGTTCTTTGTTATAAATGGAAAATATTGCCCAAAAGTAAATACTATACATGCATGCTAGGACACTGTATGATCTCGTGATTTACATTAGGCCCCGTTTGTTTTATCTCTTTAATTTTATTCGCTTTTATTTCCCTGTACTGAACTCAATCCCTTACTGATCTGCCTTAGATAAACACCTTAACAATAGAGTCGATAGATTGACAATTGGTCTCTGTGGTTCGATAATCTTATATATTACTTTGATAGGCTGTGCACTTGCAGTTATAATTTAGACTATACAGTAAAATCCCATCAGTGTTATAAATTTTTTTGATCTTAGAGACACTACTGATTTATTTTTCTAGTTTAGAGTATGAGCGATATAACGATAAAGTGTAGAAAAATAAAGAACACCAACAATTATATTAGTTCCTCTCACAATCTGAGAATACGTCTTATCCCCTTACACACAATAAGAGATTTCAGTATTGTTGAAAAATGTACAAGTCTCACCCTAAAACTTCTAACAATATGACGAACTTCTAACAATATACTCTAAGATAACATCCAACTACCTTGGTTTACAACAATGAAGATAGAGACTAGTTTCTTATTACAACCATAACACTTTGTGAATAAGAATTACAATTTATATCTTGACTTTAATCAAGAGATAAATTACAACAAAGTATATTTCTTTCCTTTGTACATAGTCACAATCCAATACAAGTAAATTCAAGTGTTCAAAAGAAGATAGAGAACTCTCTAAATGATATGAAATATTTGAATAATTCAATTGATAAATATGAAAATAGAAGTTGAATTATGTTTGAAATTTTGACAAAGGGGTTACTGTAATAAGTTGTTCTAAGGGATATTTATACTTTCTAGAACACCCCTCCAATTAGTGACAATCGTTCACAATTAAATCATGAACAAGTGCAATGATCTGGCAAAGTTACATCATGAAAAATGCATTGGTTCGCAAATGCATTCAACTACAATATGTGTATATTCGAATACAAACTTTTCAATGTTTAAAAAATTCAATTTTTATACACTGTATTCGAATACAAATATCTGTATTCGACTACCGTTGAGTCAAAATAGATTTTGTTTGCTTCTGTTTGCCACTTGTATTCGAATACACATTGATGTATTCGACAACAGTTTGCCCAAAATTCATTGTATTCGACTACAGTTTGTCCAGAAATCAGTTTTGGAGGCAATTGTATTTGAATACAAGTCCAATGTATTCGACTACATGTTTAAAAACTTGCAAAATGATTTTTGAAACTTGTAAAAACTGTAACCATTTCAAAAACATGTTTTAATGCATATGCTAGAGTTTCAAGATGAAGAAGAAGAGTTCTCATGAGCAATTGAAAATACCGGTAATGAATTGCAACATGTACTTTGATTTTACAAAAAATCTTCATGAATCTTCACTTGAATACCATCTTCTAGTCATATGTATTTGAATGATGTTTTACTTCTTTTATATTAAGCTTGACACTTGAATTTGATTTTTGTCTTCATCAAAAACATTGAGTGACATAAATCTTACACAATTACATTAACCATGAAGGTTTATTCTGCACCGTCGTAAAGGAGATCAATACCGCCGCTCAAGACCATCGTCTATTTTTTAGTCTTGAACAGAACAAAACCATTTTCCGTAAAGATCCATATGTTCTTTAATGATTAGAACGCTCTTTGCTAGATTAAATTTATAATTTAATCGTTCTTGTGGATCTTTAGTCATTCTAAAACATGATATATTATTTTAAAGTTTATGAATAGTTATTAGAATGCTACAAAATGATTTATTTCTAGTAAAATATTTATGATTCAGAAGTTGCATGATTGCAAATTATATATAAAGTAGTTCTTATGATCACTTTATTTTAGAGCCGCCCCAAGAAGATATCAAGAAAAAAAATTATATATATAATACAATTTGAAGAATTTTATTCAAAAATAATAGGGTGGGTCCTGGGTGCTAGAAAATGGAATGAAGATATTTTTTTTTGTTTGACAAAGACACATATGTAAAAACAAAAAAAAGAATGCTATCATGACACCATTTTTGACACTTACAGTATACACCCTTCATAAATACGTGAACTATACATATTATGTTGATTTTTTTATGTATTTTTTTTTTATAATTATTTTGGTTCATAAAATATTAAAATTTGGTTAATATATATTCTGACAAAAAAATTTAATATATATAACTTTAGTTAATATTATAGATAAAATTTAGTCAATACAATTTATAAGTTGATTAATGAGTTTTTAAACATAAAAAATATTAAATAGTAAAATAAAGTTGGTTAATAGAGTCTAAAAATTAGTTAATATATTTATAAATTAATGTCAGAATATAGTTAATAATTTGTATTTTATTGGTTATTGAAGCAGTAAAATTGGTTAATAAATTATAAATAAAATAATTGATTAATAATGTATATTTTTGTAATTAATACAATTGTCAAATTGATTAATAACACAACCTTATATTTGTATTATAAAATAAATTTTAAAAAAATATTTTTAAATAAATATTTTTCAAAAAGATAATATTATTTTATTAAGAAAAATTTTGTTCACTGTATAAATATAATGAACAGTATAACAATATAATAGTTGGTGTAAAAATCATTGTTACACCGTACTTCTTCATATGATTAGAGCACACTTTGCTAGATTGAACTTATGATTTGATTGTTGTTGTGGATCTTTAGTCATTCTGAAACATAATGTTTATGAATAGTTATTAAAATGCTACAAAATAATTTACTTCTAATAAAATATTTATGATTCACAAGTTGCAAGATTGCAAATTATATATAGAGTAGTTTTTATGATCACAAACTCATAGTAAAAATAAATCACTTTATTTTAGACCCATCCCAACAAGATGTCAAGAAAACAAATTATATATAAATTTGAAGAATTTTATTCAAAAAGAAGAGGATGGGTCCTGGGTGCTAGAAAATGGAGTGAAGATATTTTTTTTTGTTTGACAAAGACACATATGGAAAAACAAACAAAAATACTATCTTGACACCATTTTTGAAAATCGGATATACTATTCACAAATATGTGAATAGTATATACGTATTATTTTTTTAATGTATTATTATAAAATTATTTTAGTTAATAAAATATTAAAATTTGATTAATACAGTTTAAAGTTTGATTAATATATATTCTGATAAAAAATTTAATACATATAATGTTGGTTAATATTATGTATAAAATTTGATCAATATAATTTATAATTTATTTAATAAGTTTTTAAATATAAAAAATATTAAATAGTAAAATAAAGTTGGTTAATAGAGTCTAAAAGTTGGTTAATATATTTATAAATTAGTGTCAGAATATGGTTAATAGTATCTATTTTATTGATTAATGAAATAGTAAAATTGGTTAATAAATTATAAGTAAAGTAATTGGTTAATAAAATATATTTTTATAATTAATATAATTGTCAAATTGGTTAATAACACAACCTTATATTTTTATTATAAAATAAATTTTAAAAATAAATATTTCAAAAAAAAGTATTTAAAAAAAAAAATATTTTATTAAGAAAAACATTGTTCACTATATTACAATGAATAATATGTAACACTTGATGTAATAACTATTATTACACTGTACTTCTTCATATGATTAAATCGCTCTTTGTTAGATTGAGCTTATAATTTGGTTATTCTCGTACGTCTTTAGTCATTTTGAAAAATAACATTTATTAGTTATTAGAATGCTACAAAATGATTTACTTCTAGTAAAATATTTATGATTTAAAAATTGCAAGATTGCAAATTATATATAAAGTAGTTCTTATGATCACAAATTCATAGTAAAAAGAAATCACTTTATTTTAGAGCCTCCCCAAGAAGATATCAAGAAAAAGAATTTTATACAAGAAGAAGAGGGTGGGTGCTAGAAAATGGAGTGAAGATATTTTTTTGTTTGATAAAGACTCATATGTAAAAACAAAGAAAAATGCTTTCGTGACACCACTTTTGATGCTTATATATTTTTTTTCTAAAATTATTTTAGTTAATAAAATATTAAAATTTAGTTAATACAATTCAAAGTTTGATTAATATATATTTTAACAAAAAATTTAATATATATAACATATAGATATTAGTTAATATTATGTATAAAGTTTGATTAATACAATTCATAACTTAGTTAATGAGTTTTCAAATATAAAAAATATTAAATAGTGAAATAAAGTTAGTTAAGGAAGTCTAAAAGTTGATTAATATATTTATAGAGTGTCAGAATATGGTTAATAGTATGTATTTTATTGGTTAATGAAGCATAAAATTGGTTAATGAATTATAAATAAAATAATTGATTAATAACATATATTTTTATAGTTAATACAATTATCAAATTAATTAATGACACAACCTTGTATTTATATTATAAAATAAATTTTAAAAATAAATATTAAAAAAAAATATTTAAAAAAAAATAATATTATTTTATTAAAAAACACTATTTACTATAGATAAATACGGTGAACTACATTATAACTAACACTGGTGTAAAAACCACTGTCAACATAGCAATCCTCAAAAATAAAATATGAGAAGCAAGAAATGCATTATTAATATAAGACAAATCATAGTATAAAAATAGCCTATGGCATTGATTTACATAACATAGACACTTAAGAAAACAAGGGAAGCAAAGTTCAATAATTAACATTGATGGCGAAAGAAGAGTATCATCCATTGTTTGAGACAAGAAGAGGGAGTGGAAAGTTCATGTACATAACATTTTCTTTCTCAGTGTTTGTGGGAATTTGCTCTATTTGGATTTACAGATTGAATTACATATCCGAAGAGTTTGAAGATGGAAACTGGATTGTTTGGATTGGATTGCTTTTTGCTGAACTATGGTTTGGTTTTTATTGGTTCCTTCATCAAAACCTTAGATGGAACCCTATTTTCAGGCAACCCTTACCTCAAGTACTCTCACAAAGGTAATATATCTTTCTCTGTATCACGACACCTCTAAAAAAAGAGATTTGTCAGTATCACACATGTGATTACGTTTATTTAATTTATTTTTTCAAAATATTATTTCTTTTTCTATGTTCTTTTGATTGTTAGTTTCTTAGTGTATTTGGTGGAGAAGAATAATTTTGTGTTTAATAACAAGCCGTCGGTTGTTGAGAACATTTTGAATCATGTTAAGTCTTTTGGTTTTCAATTTTAGCTAGAAGAGGCTTAGAGGTTGAGAAAACCAATTTTAGCTTTTGTCTTATTGTTTTTGTTTGTGGAGTTTGTCCTCTCTTGATGTGTTTTTTAACACCTCTTGTGCTGTTTAATATAAAGTTACTTATAAAAAAAAAATTAATGTTGTGAAGCAGATATGAGCATATGTTGCCAAAAGTGGATATATTTGTGTGTACTGCAGATCCAGAGATTGAGCCACCAATAATGGTGATAAACACGGTGTTATCTGTGATTGCTTATGATTATCCAGCAGAGAAGCTTAGTGTGTATCTTTCAGATGATGCTGGATCAGATGTTACATTCTATGCTATGTTAGAGGCGTCTGAATTTGCAAAACATTGGTTACCATTTTGCAAGAGATTCAAGGTTGAACCTAGGTCACCAAATGCATATTTCAAGACTGTTAACTTAGATATTTACCCAAATGATGCTAAAGAAGTTTTCGCCATCAAGGTAACAAGTTACAAACTCTTTGAAATATTCGAAGTATTGAATTACAACCGCAATATTGCCGATGTGGTAGTTTCCACAATAGTATATTTTAAACTTATGCATGAATATATTCAATTTCTTATTATGCATGAGACTTGTTTGTTGTTGAATATAGAAATTGTATCAAGAAATGGAAAATCGAGTAGAAAATGCATCAAAGCTTGGTAAAGTACCAAAGGAAGCATACTCAAACTATAAAGAATTTTCTCAGTGGGATTCTTATTCATCTAAGCGTGATCATGACACAATTCTTCAAGTATGTATATTATTCTTTTTACTCAGCTCCTTTTCATCATTGTTTTTGGTTTAGAAAAAATGAAAGAAAAAATATCAGAGGAATGAAAGTGAGAAGAAAGCAAATTTTATATGAGTTTAATGGATATATGCTAATATTGTCATTCAATAATAAATTAATAGTATGTCATGTTATTAAATTATCTTTAAAATAAAAGGGTGATGTGTCTTTATACATGATCGTGATTGATTGACAGAGTAAAATTAATTTATATTGTCAATATATCATCTATTTTTTTATTTTATATTTATAATATATAAATATAAAATGACAAAAATAATCTCAAATAAAAATAAAATATTATTGAACAAAAAAAAGTTTAGTTAGTACTAAAATATTAAAAAATATTTTAATTAAATATAACTTTTTTTCTTAGAAAAATTATTAATTTATAAATATAACAACTTGTTTACGACTGCGATTAGAGATTGAACTCTGAACAGGTACATTATACTCTTTTAATCTCATAATTTATTGATATAGATTCTACTTCATAGAAAGGACTTGAATGCAAGAGATGAAGATGGATTTGTTATGCCCACCTTGGTATATATGGCTCGTGAGAAGAGACCTCACTTTCCACATAACTTCAAAGCTGGAGCCATGAATTCATTGGTACTATGTTACTTTATATGCAAAACTATTTTATGCATGTTCTGTCAAATTAATTGTTGGTCGTTAATGTAGATAAGAGTGTCATCAATGATCAGCAATGGAAAAATCATTCTGAATGTAGATTGTGACATGTACTCAAACAATTCACAATCTTTAAGAGACGCACTTTGCTTCTTCATGGATGAAGATAAAGGTCATGAAATTGCTTTTGTTCAAGCTCCTCAAAAATTTGAAAATCTCACAAAAAATGACATATATGGTGGTGCTTTGCTTATAATTCATGAGGTTGAATTCTATGGTTTAGATGGATTTGGTGGGCCCATGTATATTGGAACTGGCTGCTTTCACAGAAGAGATGTACTCTGTGGAAGAAAGTTTGATAAACAATACAGAAATGATTGGAACAACAATGCAAATGAAGAAAATATTAACCATATGATAGAAGCAAGTTTGCAAGATATGGAAGAAAAATCAAAGCCTCTTGCAAGTTGTACCTACGAGGAAAACACATCTTGGGGAAAAGAGGTCACACTCACACTCACACTCTTTTTCTTAAATTATCAAAAGAATAAAAATTTCTTAGAATGTTGGAATTATAAGATAGATATAGATTTTGGGTGGAGATGTGACATCTCCCTCCCTGCTAGTCTTGACGCATTAGACGTCAGTTATTTCTCTGGACTTTTCTAGACTCCCGAGCTAATAAATGTGTGAATATTTGATTGCAGATGGGACTACTTTATGGTTGTGCAGTGGAGGATATAGTGACAGGATTATCTATTTTATGTAAAGGATGGAGATCAGTTTACTATAATCCAACAAGAAAAGCTTTTTTAGGTTTGTCTCCAACCACATTGCCAGAAGCACTTGTTCAACATAAGAGATGGTCTGAAGGAGGTTTTCAAATTTTGCTTTCTAAGTTCAGTCCTGTTTGGTACGCTTATGGATTGATAAGTCCAGGTCTTCAACTTGCATATTGTCATTACAATATGTGGGTGCTTAACTCCTTTCCAACTCTATATTATTGCATCATCCCTTCCCTTTTTCTCCTCAAAGGCATTCCCTTGTTTCCACAGGTATGAATGAATCTAACAAGCACACACTCTATAACACGGACAAAGAGACTCAGACATCAATAATTTCAATATAGGACATCGACACAATTACATATTTAATAGTGTTTGATCTTTATCCCTCTATTATCTAAAGAGTTAAAAATATTCTAATAAAAATTAATGTCTTTAATTTTTTATTGATAATATTATTTTAATATATGTTTAGCCGCCATTTTAAATGTGTGTGATTTGTTAAGAAAAGTAGAAATGTATCTTGAAGTAAAGATTTTTTTTTTGAAACACTTGACTAAATTGTTAGTGGTATGAGTGTCATACGAGTGTCGAACACCTATATAAATAGTTTTAAAGAGAAAAAATAATATTTTTTTATAGATATTTGTTTGATTTTGCTGACAATTATTTGATTTTTCCGACATATGTAGTACGAGTTTTATAGTGTCAAATATCAACGTGTGTCAGATACTACGACATGTCTATACGTGCTTAGTAGGAATTAATTGATGTTACCTTATTAAGAACACAAGTATATCATGCATCAAATGTCTTATAATTTCTACGGATGTTCTACTAAGTTTTGTTTTGGTGATATTGATCAGATTTCAAGTCCATGGTTCATACCTTTTGCCTATTTGATAGTTGGTAATTCAACCTACTCTTTGATAGAGTTTTTGAGGGTAGGAGGAACAATCAAGGGTTGGTGGAATGACTTAAGAATGTGGCTATACAAAAGAACAAGTTCATACCTTTTTGCTTTTGTTGATACCATGCTGAAGTTAATAGGTTTCTCAAATTCAGGCTTCATAATATCTACTAAGGTAGCTGAGGAAAATGTTTCTCAAAGATATGAGAAAGAGATTATGGAGTTTGGAAACTCTTCTCCAATGCTCATTTTATTGGCTACAATTGCAATGCTGAATTTGTTTTGTCTTGTTGGGGTTTTGTTAAAGGAAGTTGTGTTAAGCGGAAAAGGTTATGGAATATTTGAGACAATGTTGTTGCAAGTTTTACTAAGTGGTGTGTTGGTTGTTCTTAATATACCTATTTATCAAGGACTTTTTATGAGGAAAGATAAGGGAAGAATGCCAATATCTGTTGCAGTTAAATCAACAACATTAGCTCTAAGTGCATGTGTTCTCTTTAGTGCTCTTGGTTAAGTACATGTCTTTTATCAATTTGTAGTTGTATATTTTAAAAATAATAAAGGGTTAAATATAAAAACACCCCCTCAATATTAGCGAATTTAGATTTTAGTTTCTTGTAAAGTTTTTTTTTAATTCCTCCCTTGTGTTATGTAGATTCCCTCGGATCACTTCCTACTGGCCAGATGTCATAGAATCTTGAGTGATATGTTGAAATATTTGTCACGTCCTATTTCCAATTTAGCCACATGGCATTCTTAATTAAATCATCAACTTGCCTAGTTGTTAATTACGTTTTATAATCGCTATATCCCCCCTGCAATGTTAGGGTTTATGTGAGAATTTTGTGTTGTCGAGATGATTAATCATTAGGGTTCATTTTCCGTTGAAGCTTCTGTCGTCTACAGGCGACCGACCGTCATGGGTGGAAGCAAGTGTTCTTCAACAAGTAAGGATTTGCCAAGATGTGGCTGTAGCGAAAACATGAAATTATGGGTGTCTAACACCGTCGAAAATCCAAGCAGAAAATTCTAGAAATGCAGAAATTCTATGGTGAGTTGTTTATAAGGTTGTAATTCTTCTTATATGAACCTTCTCATTTCTTTATGTTTTAATATTGGGAAAAAATGCAGAATGGTTGCAGTTTGTTTCTCTGGGACAACATGGTCAGCGAGGTCAATGTAAGACAAATTATGTTTTGTTGAATGAAATTTTAATTTTTGTATAATTTAGTTAAAGTTACATTCGTTGACAGTGAATATGTCTATGGCGCCAAAGTTACATTCATTGAAAGCAAAATTTTGACAGCAAAATATGTCTAAGACAGTTGAAATAACTTGGTGCAAAGTTACAAAATTTTGACAGCATAGTTGGATAAAATATTGACAGCAAAGTTACAAAAGCACACTTGGTGCATATGTCTGTTACAACATTACCAAAAGACACACTTGGTGCATATGTCTATTACAGTATTACCAAAAGGCACACTTGGTGCATATGTATATTACAACATTACCAAAAGGCACACTTGGTGCATATGTCAAACACAATAATAATACAAGAAAATAAAAGGCACACTTGGTGCATATGTCAAACCCTTAGGTCTATTAAAGATAACATAAAACTTAGTCTCTATTGATTTTGGTCCCCCATGTATTCATAAACCTTGTTTTCACTCCTAGTTTGGACTCCTTTGAACCTGACTTCTCTCCAACTTCTGTTATGGTGATTGGTTGTTCACTAGATCCCGGGCCTATAATTTATTTCTTAAACCAAATCAACTTGATCCTTTCACTTTGCCTTCTTTTGGCAACTGTTGGCTCTTAAATTCGACACCTTTGTTTTGATTGATGTCAGCCATTAAAAGCTGAAAGATGCTTTCGACTGGCTAAGTCTGTCGAAGTGCCCGTCGAAAGATGGCAAAGTACTTAGAAGATTTCTTCCAAGGAAGAAGGCTGATTGCCTTCGACGTCGAAGGAGTTTTTCGTCGAAGATGTCTCTTGACAAAAGTGTTCGATGGTCCAGAGTGGAGCAATTTTGAAATTCAAGCTTTTGGAGGGAAAACGGTTTCCAGCAGTTACCGCGTGCAAACGTGCAAGGATCTGGAGCGTCGAACGCGGAGAACGTGCCAAGTGGATTGATCTCGAAGCAGTGTAACTGCCTGACGGTTACTTGGGATGTTTTAGTATAAATAGGAGTAGACATGTAGTTTCTCGCGTGTGTTCACAATTCTATACAAAGTCACTCATATAGATTCGAGTACCCAGCGTGTGAGAAAGAATTGTTGAGAAATGTATGTGTGAAACACCAATTTTATCAATTAAAGTCATTTACTTTTCCAGAAATTTACTTGCTTTCTCCTTTACATTCTTGTCGAACCTTTTACTTTAAAGCCTTGTTTATTTTACCAAGTCTTTCCTTTATGCAATTCATTTAAAGCCAATTTATTTAAAGCCTTATCCAATTCAATCAAACTTCAAAATCAACCTATGTCCTAGGATCAATCTGATCGATCCTGCGAGTAACCAAATAAGTAACCATTTGGAGGATCAGCGGTTGTTTACCAAAACCCAAGGTAAACAAATTGGCACACCCGGTGGGACTGTGTGTTGATTGTTGAAAATAATCTCATCTTTTCGAGTTGTATGTTATTGAGAAGTGGTAGAATATACACTAACAATAACAATACTGCCAGAGGAAGGGAAGAGATGGCGAATCCGCCAAACACTAACGAAATTCCACAAACGAGTGTGGGAGCAACGGTTAATATGACCGTAAGTGAAGCGACAAATGTTGGTTCGACACCAGCAGTATCGGTCACAACCACGGGGCCAATACCTTCGTTAACAGGCCCCAGGATACCTTTGGGAACTCCCCCACCAAGGGGAAATTTAGGCACAAGGCCTTTCGTTCCCCCAGGATTCATTCCACTCTATGGTATGCCAACTTCTGAAGTGGCAAGCCTGACGAATGCTGCGTCCACTGTTTCAGACCCTTTAGTGAGTGCCTCTTCGCCACTCCAAGGCTCTGGAGTAGGCATGGCGAATAGAAATAGGACCCAATTCTTAGGAGGAACGTCCCAAGTAGCCCATGGCCTTACAAATGCCTCGACAGCAGTCTTGAGGCAACAAATGGACGAAAGCAACCATGATATGGTGCAAATGTTGGCACAAACTTTGAGTACAGTGCTAAACCCTCTAATACAAAACACTACTCAATCGAATCAGCAAGTGACAGCGCAAATGACGCGTTTGGCTGATTTCTTTGGAGTGCCCCCACTTATTCGACAGCCCCAAAGGGCGTAAATAAGGGGAAATCAGGGGATATTTTTAGAGGAAGAAACCACCATTAACCAGGCTCAACAGCCTGTCGAAGAAAACCTTAGGGCACGATTGGAACAACCTGTCGAGGAACCTAGGGTAATAACCCCAGAGGTAAGGTTAGTTAACAGAAACCAAAATGCTGACGAAGTGGTTCAGCATATCCAATACCAAAACATGGGCTTGGAAAACAATCTGGCAACCATGATTGAAAGGATCATGACTCAGAATGGGATGAACATGGGCTTTCGAAGGCCCAACTTTACATCTCCATTGTCAGAATACGTGTTACAAACGGACTTACCTCCTAGATGCAAAGTCCCCAAATTTACTAAGTTCTCTGGGGACACGACAGAATCTACTGTCGAGCATGTGGCGAGATACTTGATCGAAGCAGGAGACATTTCGAATAACGAAAACCTAAGGATCAAGTACTTCCCAAGTTCTTTAACCAAGAACGCTTTTACTTGGTTTACAACTCTTCCCCCCAATTCGATCCATCATTGGACCCAGTTGGAAAGATTGTTCCATGAACAATTCTACATGGGGCAGACCAAGATAAGCCTGAAAGAACTGGCCAGTGTGAAGAGACGTTTCACTGAACCTATAGACGAATATCTGAATAGGTTTAGGTTGCTCAAGGCGAGATGTTTTACACAAGTGCCAGAACATGAGTTGGTCGAAATAGCCGCAGGCGGTTTAGATTATTCCATTAGGAAGAAGCTAGACACCCAGTACCTAAGAGACATGGCCCAACTGGCAGATAGAGTTCGACAGGTCGAACGCCTCAAAGCTGAAAAATCTAAGGCAACGAAAACTCACAAGAGAGAGAGGATAGTGTACGTTGAGATGGATGACGAAGATCTAGAATCCTTCGACGATACTTTAACTGTCGAAGAAGGAGAAGTCGATTTAGCAGAACTGAAACAAGGGCCACCATACTCTTGTAAACTGTTAGTCCCCTCAAATGGGAAAAATCCCATTGGTCCAGAAAGGACCAACGATAGGTTCCCAAAAAAGACTTATAGTTTTGACATCACAAAATGTGATGAAATATTCGACTTGCTAGTTAAAGATGGCCAAATGATAGTACCCCCAGGGGTAAAAGTGCCTCCTCTTGATCAAAGAAAGAAGAGAGGTTTTTGCAAATATCATAATTTTTTGGGCCATAAAACTTCTCAATGTTTTCTTTTCAGGAATCTGGTGCAAGACGCTATTGAGGAAGGGAGATTAAAGTTTGCAGACAAATCCCCCATGGCTATCGACTCCAATCCACTGAAGGCTGAAGCCCACTATGCTGAACCCTCTGAGGTGAACATGATAGAGGCAACCAGGATCCAGTCGAAGAAGCCAGGAATTACCATGGTCGAAGTCTCAAAGGACCACATCAACATGCCAATCTTTGGCAGTTTTTCTGGAAATTTATCCAGGAAGACAATTGAAGCTGTCCAGAAAGCGGTCGAGAACCCGAAGTCGGAGACTGCTGAAGCACAAAAAACTGGATCAAAGCCCAGTTCCCACTTGGCCACCGTTCAAGGCCAGACGGAGAATCTGGAGATACAAATGAAGCAGTTAACTCTTGCTAACAAGGATACAATGAATATCAACATGGTCGAACTCTCTGACCCAAAAGCATCAGAAGAGGCCATGAGGCAAGAACAGGCTAATAGGACTGCTTTCCCTCGGGAAAATGAAAACTTGACAGATTTTCTACAAAGATGCCAGAAAAAGAAATCAGAGGTGATGCTGTGTCCAAGATGCAGTTCGATCTTTGATAAAAAAGCTGCTGAGCACATTCAGGGCGTAAGAGCAGCGAATAAGAGAAGGGAGAATGCTGACCTTCGACATGATCCCAGAAGGGGTTCTAACCAAGACAAGAGGCCATTGACTTTTAGGCCTCCAACAAATGTACCAGTAGACACTTGGTACAAAACCTCTGGCCGGAAAAGGCCAAGTGAGGATAAATGGCATTCTTTCGATGTGCCAAGAGGTTCCTCGTTGACTCAAAAGAAAGAGCCTCAAATTGCTGCACCTAAGGTTGCACAAGTGTCCAGCAACTACAAGGGTAAAAATCCTATGTCTCGATCTCAATGGAGGAGATATCAAAGGAGACGAAAAGCTGAAAGGGAGGCTGCCAACGAACCTAAGGCAGAAACTAGTTCGAATGTTCCTCAAAGGAAACAAAGGAAGCCTCTA